TACTTCCTATTAAAGGAGAACACATACCAGTGCCTTTTCATCAGTGGGAGAGTGTCAGAACCAGATTAGTCACATCTGAAGTTGTTTTGCAGGAGTATGTTGGGATGACTAACGTTGTACCATTCACAGGTGATCGTAACTGGCTTGCAGTCTTCTTAATAGAGCGGGTTCATTCAGAAAAAGCTGGAAACTACAACAAGTAACAGATAGGTCTAGAGTTTCAAACTCCTTTGAGTGAAATTTTTTTTTTTAATTGTCATTGTCACTATACCTATAGTGGCTCCACCCAGGTTTTCAATAAGGAAAACACAGAATCCTCACATTCCTAATTTCTGCTTTTCTGCAGGAAGTTTGAAAACACTAAACAATGTATGTAAGTGCATTTTTCTGCATGTATGTTATATTTAAAAATAGTTAAGAAAAATGAACACAGAAGCAATTTATGCAAGCATAATTATATTGTCTAATAAGGCTTTCCTGTTTATTTGCACACTAGACTGCAAATTTTCAGGATATCAGAAATCATTAGATTTCTAGAGATAAATAGTAACAAGTAGATAGACATGACTGTATCCTTAAGAAACCCTAGATTGGCGTAGGAGGTAATGGGAAGGTGACTTAGTGTGGCTTCCTCCACTGTTCCCAGTTCCGGTGCCACCCTCCTACACAGCTGGGCTAGGCAGGCAGGAAGGCCTGGGGGAGCCCGCGAGGCCTGGCCTGGGGGAGCCGGGAAGTGAGGTCCTGGGCACTGTGGTTTAGGAGTCAGAGGGAAGGCCAGTCTCACTGCCTTGCGCCAAGTGCTCATTGGAGGTGGAGGTGGAGGCGGTGCGCTGTAGAGGTGGGCTGTGTCCCCACTACCTGCAGGCTGGGGGGCTGCCGAGGGCAGAAGACAGAGAGGCTTCCTCCTGCTGTCTTGCCTGAACACGGGCTCTCCCTGGCTACACCTCCAGTTCATAAGCTCCTTCCACGACACCTAGGACCACCTATGGCCACCTACTTAATCTCATTCCAATGATCCTAGAACAAAAAGAAGCCACACCTAAGGGGGCCCAGCAGCCAGAAGGAGGCAGAATAAGCACAGCCTTTAGAATGGGCCCAAATAAAATAGGAAACAGGTGGACCTTGAATGAGAAATAATTAGGACATTTTATGGATTGAATGATTGTGTCACTCCCCAAATTCATATGTTGAAGCTCTAGCCCCCAGGGCAATGGCATCTGGAGGTGGGGCCTTTGAGTGGTGATGAGGTTTAAATGGTCAGGAGCACCCCTGATGGGATTAGTGCTTTTATAAGAAGAGAGACCAGAACTTTCTCTGTCATGTGAGGGCACAGCAAGAAGGCTCCCTGCAAGACAGGAAGAGGGTCTTGCTTAGAATGGGACCATCCTAGCATCCTGATCTCAGATTTCCCAGCCTTCAGAACTATGAGGAATACATGTGTGTTGTTTATAAACCATTCAGTCTGGTATCTTGCTAAAGCAGCCCCAGCTAACTAAGATAAGGCACTTAAGGTTACCTGGGGACAACATTCCATCTCTTCCGTGAACTTAAATTTTTAAAAGTCAGTAGACGAACTAGAAACAAGGATAGTTGCATTTAAGAGCTGAATTAGTTACCCACGAGACAAAGTAGAAAAAAATGGTTGAAACATCAGAGCCAAATGCAAAGAGAGGAACTGTGGGGGGAAAAGATACAAGACTTGAGGGATAGATCGAGGACACCCAGCGTAGGAATAATAGGAGCTCCAGAAGGAGACAAAGAAATGGATGGAGAAAAAAAAAATAGTTACACAGAAGAGAATTCACCTGAGTTGAAAAAATATCTGAGACTATAGTTTGAAAAGTACACTGAATTCCAGGTAGAATTGGTTAAAAGAAAGAGCGTAAGAGCGCGAGAGCGCACGTGCACCACAATTGGGTACATTCTGATAAAACTCTTGAACTCTGAAGATGAAGAAAAAAATCTGACAAGCATCTAGGTGTAAGAAGCCAAGGTAATTATAAAGGAAGGAGCATCAGACTTCCTGTCAGCCTTGACATTCACTGGGAGGAAACATCTTTAAGTCAAGAATTCTATATCTTTTCAATTTATCACTCATCCTTCAGGGAGAGGGGAGGAGGATTATTGACAAGGCAGGGACTCAGAACCTTTTGTCCAAGTGTTTGATCTGAGGAAAACGCTAGGGAAAGGTCTCTAACCAAAACACTGTGAGTCTGCACAGAGACCCTAAGACAGGAGAAAAGGAAAAAAGAAGCGCAAAGGTAATCAGTGATCCCTGTATTATTTCATGTAATTGGATATTGAGAAATGCCTGGGACTGGGTAACAGAAGAGTTAAAAAATTATTGAACCAGAAGAGACACTATACAGACAAAATCGTAATTATAGCCCATCTGGAAGTATCGAGTTACTTTAGCAAAGCCTAGAGGGATGGGGAAGGGCAAAAGGGGAGAAAAGTAAAGTCCTTCCAAGTAAGTCATGGGGGGGGGGGGTCGTAGGGGGAAGAGGATGAAGGAGAGTAGACAGGGAGATGTTCTGAGTGTGCCATGTTGAGGAGAGGGACTGCCGTACAAGAACGGAGCCTGGAGTAGACATGTATGTGCTTAAGAACATTGTAGAAAGGAAGGTGACCAGTCATGAAATAGAAGTGTCCAGGAACAGTTCCCAGTTTACAAGGGGAGGAAAGGCAATCGATGGTAACCTGATTAAAGCAGTCAAAATAAGGGAAAGGAGAAAGGAAACAGGAACAACTAAAAGCATCCTAAATTATAAATATAAAGTGAAATGAAGGGACAAATGAAAACAAACAAAGCAGCCTAGTGTCATGATTGAGAGCACAGTCCTGGTTCCAATCCCAGCTCTGTCACTTTTTGACTGAGGCTTTGGGCAAGTTCCCTAACTGCTTAGGGATTTCACCAACTGGGAAAGAGGGAAGACAATAGTACCTCCGGCAAAGGGTGTTGTGAGGATTAAATGAGCTAACGTACCGAAAGCACTTAAAACAGTGTCTGGTATACAGTTCGATCAAGTGTTTGCTTTATTATTTATAAAGCATAGTAGCAATATTACTGTTTGGTAAGATGAAATAATAGTAAAAGCACTAAATCATATAACGAAGGTTATTATATAATGGTTATGGCCACTTATTGTAAATGTATATGTGCCAATTAAAATGGCAGCTAAATATATATTAAAAGTGTGAGAAATTGATGAAAAATACTTTATAGCGGGAGGATTTATAATACCTCTTTTAAGCTGCAGAGATCCAGTAGACAAAAATAAATAAGATCTAAAAAAAAAATGAATGATAGAATCAGCAGTCTAAAAGACAACTTTGAAACTTCTGTCCCCGAATATTTTGCACAGAACGTTTAAAAAAAATCAGTCATGTGCCACAAAGCAAACTTTAATACATTCAAAACATTAAATATATTGCAGACCATATTTTAAATCATAACCCAATACAATTATAAATAAATAATAAAAATGATGAAAAACACTTAGTTTGAAAATGAAGAGACGCAGTTCTAACTAATTCTTAGATCAAAGAGAAATCCAAAACTGAAAATAACACAGTAACAAAGGAAAACACATCACACCCAAACTATGGACAAAGAAAATACTGTACTAAAAAAAAAAAAGGCTTCATTCTTAAGAAAGAAATAATAAAAATAAAGGAACATTGGGCTAATCTATTTAAATTACCAAAAAAGAATAAAATAAAAGAAAGACTTAATAAATATTTAAGCGGACTTCAAGCAAATAGAAAATGTTTGTAAAAAGTCATTAAAAGGGAAAGGACCCCAAATCCAAAAGCTTTCTCTTTGGGAAGGAGAGAGAAGTGGTGGTGGGAGGGGAGTGTGAGGGCGGAGTACACCAGAGGGCGCCGGTGGGGGACAGGCGTGCCAAAGACCAAGGAAATGTGCAAAAGAAACACCTGATGCAACCTTTAGCTTTTGAGAGGTTTCCTGCTACTTAGGACTCAGGTTTTCTAGTCTGTCTGTCTGCCATAGTGCTTCAGCTTCAGCGTCTTCTCTGTTTTTGGCAGGCAGCATTGCAGCGCCCTGGCTAGCCACTCGCTACCCATGTGACTTTGGACATGTAATCTCAGCTGTTTGTGCCTCACTTCCTGGTGGGTAACATGGGCATCCTGAGTACCTCCCTCCAGGGGACCAGTGTGGATCTGGTGCATGTCAGCACCTCTCAGTACAGGCTCAGGAAACCCTAGGGGTGTCCTCATCGTCTCCAGCGTTCCTTTGAAGAGTTCCCAGGATGGATGTGCCACTAGGTCACGCTTTTAGGTCAGGTCACTTAACCTTCAGGCAGTTCTGCTTTCATCTCATGTCTTTCCTATGGGACACCATTCTGCCATTCCTGTATAAATGTTGTCATCAAATAACTACTAGAAAGATTAGCACTTGCTGTACTTAACATGTACTTGGCATTGTGCTAAGTGCTTTATGTTTATCTTATATAATATCCACAGTGGCCTTGAGACTAAAGTCACCACTCCTGCTCACAGATGAGGAAAGGGAGGCTCAGAGAACTGTACACACTTGCCCAGGATCGCACAGTGGAGGAACCAGAATTTGGACCTGTTGGTCTGATGCCCACTCCCCTTCTTACTCTTGATTTATTACTTCCTAATTAATGTAGGGATTGTTCAACTAAAACAATGACTATCTAAAAACACCCTGGGGTGGTAAAAATATATCCCAAGAGTCCAGGGTCCTTGATCAGGGCTTTGCCTCTCCTGAAGCTGGACCTCCCTCACGTCTTTTGACATCAAGTCTAGCGTTTTTATTGGTAAGTTAAGGGACTTGGTGTGGGTGTGTTCCCTAAGGTCTCTCTCCCTGTCTAAGCCCCTGGTTCTCTGTATATAGCAGATAACTGTTAAAAAGGAGCCACTTTCGAAAGGAGTTAAATGTTCTTACTTAAAATGGTTTTGTGGTGTCATGTAAGTTCCCACACGACTCCCTTGTGGCTTTCTGTGTTGCCCAGGTACTCCAGGAGCAGATCCGGGCCCGGGACAACATTAGCTATGGAACTAATTCTGCCTTAAAGACTCTGGAGATGCGCCAGCTGTCCGGTCTGGGAGATCTCCGAGGGAGAGTGGCAAGGTAAGTGGTCAAATGTTTGGGACTCCACGCCTCAAAAGGGATTTTTCATAAACTTCATTTTTGTTGGGGAATATATTCATGAAGCCCCAGGGCAAATTCTTTGAATTCTTCTCGTACATCTCCTCCTTTGCCCATAAAATTGAACAGTGGAAGTTAGACTGGATGCGAGCGCGCCATGATTTCTTGTGTGTCTGCAACTGGACTTGTGTGCATGGAAAGAAATGGTGGGAGAGCTCAGCTGACCTGTGCCGTTTGGCAGGGTAAGACTATTATGCTTACTGAATCCAATAATATACAAAGTTGTGACTTAACATTTTGCGTGTTAAAAATTTCATTTTTCTTATAATTCTCTTGTTATTAAATTATTTTTATATTACAATCGACACACAATATTATATTAGTTTCATCTGTACAACACAGTGATTATATCTCCCAATAAGTCTTAGTACCCACCTGACGCTACGCATAGTTATTACAATACTATTGACTATATTTTTATTTTATTTTCTAAAAGTCCATGGTAGATTGGAAATTTTAAAAACAGCATTTTCACCTCCGATAGCATGGAAAGTGGTGTTCTAGCCCCTTACTACTCAAATTGTGCTTGCTGGACCCGCAGCATCCAAGTCACCTGGAGCTTGTTAGAAATGCCAGCCAGCCCTGATGTACTTACGGGCCTCTTCTGCCCTCTGCTGCTATTAAAGGTCAAGCGCAAGTCTACACAGGAGCTGTGGAGCTCATAGGCAATTAGAATCATCCTGAGGTACAGTTGACAGTGGTCTGCAGAGAGGGTGGGAGTAGAAAAAGGGACTCATAGGCTCCAAGGCCTCTTTGGAGCAGAGAGCAGTAGCGTGAGGAGGTATCTGTGCAGATGACACCTGAAGGGCCTTGCGTGCTGGGCATGTGTATTTGGGTCACATCAGCCGAACAGCAGTGGTTGAACGGAGGCCTGGTTGGCCACTCTTGTGTGGTTTTTTTATCCTCATCAGTGAGCTCCAATCTCCTTCATATGACTCTTAGGGACAGAAACCCTACTGACCTCTGCAGCTCTCTTTACCCTTGCACTGTACCTTTCAGCTGTGATCAATTGCTTGTTATTTCCGGAAGGGGCCATGCTCTCCTATTTCAGTGCCGTTGCACATGCTGTCTTATGTCCAACATTCCTTTCCCCCTTCTTTTCTAACTTCTAATCAGCCTTTCAAATTCTGATCAAATGTCTCCTCCTTTCGGAAGTCTTCCTTGATACCTGACTCTCCTGAGCTCCACTAGCATTCTTTGTTCTGTTGGGTCTCTCTCTTGTCTTCACTGTTTTGGAGTATAATACAATCTTTTATTTTTGTAGCTCAAGTGTCTGGAAACAGTCTCAGGAAAACAGTAGGTAATAATTGTTTGTTTGGATGAATGATCTAGGAAATCACTGTGATAGAGTGGAAAGAACTTGAATCCTTTCTGTGGAGATTGGCTTAAACGAAGCTACAGCTCTGTTATAGCTCTGGAACAATGAAGAGCTAGAAGAACCTCTGAGCCGCAGGGCAGGAAAGGGACTTCAGGAGAACTTTGAGGCTCTTCTTGGTCACTTTAGTTGCAATCGAAGATTAAGCGCGGCAATATATCTAAGAGGCTTGGTGCAGTCAGTGCATGGGATGCACAAACACAGAGAATGGCAGCTGCGTTGTTACCTTGGAGCAGCAGGAGTGAAATTATCCTGGTTCTAATTACAAAATAAAGAAATTATCTTGACATACTTTGAGAAATTTTGCATTTTTTCCTGTAGTTTCTTATTAACTACTCTCCCATCTTGTTCCTTCTCTGTAACAAACACTTTTACTCCGAAACAATTAAGAAGTGCGCTGAGAGCACCACATGTTTTTGCTTTGTTTTACATTTGTCTTTTCCTTGTAATGTTAATGGGACTTGAATTATTGAAATAAACTCATATGAGATAAAAAATCTTTGGCAAAGTTTTGGCTTTCTTGCACTGGTTATGTTATTGCAGTGAAGGAATATGTATGAACTTCTTAAGTGATATTCTTAAATTAGTAGGCTGCCATATTATTTCAGATTTATTTCATACTGTTTTGGTGATGTAATTGACAGAAAACAGGCCCTGATACCTCCCCTGTAGACCCAGCTTGGAGGGGCAAAGGTAAATTTGCCATTGAGGTGAGACACCCTTACACCCTCTAAACAAAGCACATCCTAAAAAAGACTTTCTCAGAGTTTCCCATTTCTCTCTAAAGCAGAATATCTAGAATATTTGGTCCACTGTTGCCCTGTCTTATTCATTTTTCCAAAACTTAATGGGCATATCCACTTTCCTCTATGAGGTCTGCTTGCATGATGTTAGAGCCTTAAAAAATTATCTGTATATTAAAGCAGACGTGCAAGTTCCCGCAAGGTAAGCAAACCCTGGTGCAAAGAAAAAAAAGAAACAGATAAAAGTGGACATCATCAGATTAAAGATCTTTGGCTCTCATAAATAACACTGTTCTGAACATTCACATGGCTTTTGTTTGGTCATATGTTTTCATTTCGTGTGTGTGTGTGTGTGTGTGTGTGTGTGCGCGCCTAAGAGTGTAATTGTTGAGTAATACAGCAACTCTATATTTAACCTTTTAGGGAACAGAACAGCCAGGCTTTTCCACACTGGCTGCACCATTTTCCATTGCCAGCCTCAGCGTATGAGGGCTCCGATTCCTCCACCTCCTCTTCAACGCTTATCTGTCTTTTGATTATAGCCAATCTTCTGGGTGTAAAGTAGTGTCTTGTAGTTTTGATTTGCATTTCCCTTAATGACTAATAATGTTGAATATCATTTAACGTGCTTATTGGTGACTTGTATCTCTTTCTTGGAGAACTGTTTGTTTAGATCCTTTGTCCATTTTTAAATTGGATTATTTGTATTTTTATTATTGAGTTGCAAGAGTTCTTTATATATCCCAGATGCAATTCTCTTATCAAATATTTGGAAAATAATCCGCATTCTGTTTTCTTTTCATTTTCTTAATTGGGTACATTTGGGTTTCTTTTTTTATTTCTATCTCTTTATTCATATTCTCTATTTAATGAGACATTGCCATTAAACCATCCTTTACTTTTTAAAGCAAGTTTCTTTTATTTATTTGATTATCCTATATTTATAATGGCTGCCTTGAGTTTTTGTCTTTTAAATGTGACATCCTGCTCTGTCTCACAGGCGGCTTCGTTGGTCTGCTTCTCCCCTGACCCCCGCATATAGTTCACATTTTTCTATTTCTTTGCATGTCTCAGAATTTTGTTAATAACTGGACACTTTAGGTAATATATTGTTGCAATCTGTATGCTGACATACAGACACTGGGGTTTGTCTTGTTTGTTTGTTTGTTTAATGACTTGGCTGGACTATTTTAGTCATGTCTGTTTCCCCTGCGATGTGAAGCCTCTGATGTCACTCCTCAGAAGGTACAAAGTCACCCTGGGATGCTAGTGGTTTCAGAAAGGCTCGCTTTGTCTCTTTCCCTGATCTTTTATTAAACTGCCACTGTTGGTACCACACCCAAATCTGAGACTCCATTAATTGCTGGCATACTGCTCTCCTGTTTTTGACAATGCCCTAGAACATAAATTGCTCTATAATCTGATTCAATTAAATTATTGCCAGTACATAAAGGTTTTTATGATGTATATATGCAATAATTATGTGTTTGTGTATATATATACACACAGACATACATAGGTATTAATTATAACAATATGGAAGATGAGAAAAAGTTTTAAATGTCATTGTTTTTGGTTGTTGTGCCACCATGTCACAAGCTATGAGAGAAGTTCTGCTTAAGCATGTTGTCTAAGTCATACCTTTGGGACCCTGTTGGACTTTTGACCACCTCCCTCTTATCATTGATCTGTCGAACGAGTGATGGAGTCATTCTGCCACCTGATGGCCACAGCCAGGAAATGTACCTGGGAGATCCTGCCCCAAAGACTGGAAAAAGGAAAATTTGGAATCTGTAATATAAAATATCAAGAATGAAATAGGACAACTGACCAGATGCATTGCAGATTCTTCTTTAACTAAAGTTATTGAGCATGCATGCAACTACATTAGAGTGCTGAGGCTGTCTTTTGTGTTTTTTTTTAAAAGACAAGAACGATATCTTTGATTCAATACTGGCTGAAATAGCAAATTTGCTTCCCCCCTTCTTTATGTGTGTATTATATATGGTTATATATATATGTAAGTATGAATTTATGTATATAATTTCAAAGTTATAAAAAATATGCAAGATTCACTATTTGTTAACATTTTGTTTCATTTACTCTATTATTCTTTCGTATATAAATTTTTTTTTCTGAAACATTTGAGAGTAAGTATAACATTGTTTTTAACGTAAAAAACTGAGTTGAGCCCTAGCTGGGGTGGTTCAGTGGACTGAGTGCCAGCCTGCAAACCAAAGGGTCGCCGGTTCAATTCCCAGTCAGGGCACATGCCTGGGTTGTGGGCCAGGTCCCCAGTAGGGGGTGTGTGAGAGGCAACCGCACGTTGATGTTTCTCCTTCTCTTTCTCCCTCTCTTCCCCTCTGTCCAAAACATAAATAAATAAAATCTTAAAAAAAGAAAAAAAACCAAGTTGATTCCACTGTGTATGTTTATTGATGAGAGGCTTTGGTATCACACTGTGTCTCTTTCTACTTCCCCTGCCCGTTCTGCCCCTTTGTTTATAAAAGTACACAAGTGATAGGTGCTGGTAATAAACAATCAGGCATACTATGAAATATATAAAATAAAAAAGGAAGGCTCACCAGGTCCATCTCTGTTTAACCCCTTAGAGGCAACTAATTTAACAGTTTGGTGTCTGTCCTTTTTGACCTTTCTTATAAATTGTTGTAAAATAATAATTTATCATTGTAGGAATATAATGATTTGCAGCAAAACAATTACCTAACAGTGTGATTTTAATTTTAATTTTACAAAGTATTATATATATATTATTCTGCCACTTGTTTTTACATAACAGTATA